AAAGGGACTAAAAGGCCAAGCAGCTTCTGTGCCTAGCGACTCAGATCACGCCGTGGTGTGGGAGTGAAAAGTTCACGGGAAGTCTGGCAGAATCGGGCGTCCGTTGTGGGGTTACGTGTTGGCGAACATGACCGAACACGCACTCCAGAAAGAGAAGGGGTGAAAGAAAAGTCAAGGATGACTTGAAAAAATCGGCATTTCAATTTGTGTCGGCCCCGAAAAAACTGCATCCGGCAGAACAGGCGAGGCCGAAAACCCGATGGCCATAAGCATTTTCGTGCATGTCCCAGAGAACACCATGGAGCCAATCAGGTACTGCCCCTAGTGAAGCAGCCCGCCATGATCACACGCATGCGCGTGGAGGGCCGGATAGGGCAGGAAGTGGGCCGTTTGCCCCCGCCATAAACATCATTGCGCGCACGCGTGGGGGCAGAGGGGGGGGGAGGCACAAAGGGCAGGAAGTGGCCTTTCTGTTCCCAAAGTTGGGGGGCGCGCGGCCCCACCAAGATCATGACTACACAGTCGCGTGGCGAGGGGCACGGAGGGCAAGAACTGGGTATTTTGTTCCCAAGCCATGATATTACGCACACATATGGGGAGGGCCAGATAGGGTGAGAATGCTTTCCAGGTCCCAAACACCAGGGGCATGCTTCACGTGCCCCCACCACGATTACGCATATACGCAGGGTGGGCCAGACACCATCCGTCTGTCCCCCTCAACTAAAATCTTCCGTTAAATTGATTGAATACTTGCGTGAGCAAACTTTTATCTATAGAATGAGAAGATTAAGAATTTTGTTTCCATCATGAAACAAAGGTGAATCTGGATATTAGGGGGAAAAAAAAAAAAAAGTAATATACATAATATTATAGACGTATGTACATAGTACACGTTTGTATTTTGTTTGAATAAGTGAAGAAAAACTTTTTTTTTTTTACCCCACATCGTGAGTAAGTGTACAATGTGGCACTCACGTCGATCCAGCCTTTGGTCCCAGGTCTCCGTGCAGCCAAAAGTGGCAGGCCGTATCGGGCGACATCGGACAATGTGGCATGCACAGATGCCCACCGGGTCAAGTACAGGAAGACACGTAGACACATATCCATGCTTTCGGACAGATGGCGAGCCGTAGTGGCCAGAAGCTTACAACGTGGCATTCAACCCAACATGGGCTCGGGCACAGTTCTCCTTTGAGCAAAAAGTCGAGTACTGCATCGGGCAAAAGGGGCTTCAGACGGAAGGAGCAAAACTGAAAAAAAAAAAAGGGAAAAAAAAAAAAGAAGCAAGCAGCTCATCGGCCACTATACAAGGGCGACGACTCTTTTCAGACGCGGATGACCGTCGTTCAAACATTTGAGGAGGGGTGGGGAGCCAGAAGGTGGGGGAAATGTTTGGAACAAAGGGCCGAATCTCAACAGATCGTGACGACAAGGCCACTCTACTGCTTACAAGGGTTTGACTCCCAGAGTGAAAGAAATTTCGATGAAGAGACCCCCAGGGCGTCGGTGCTCCGCCGCAGGAGGGACAACTCCGAACTTATGCTTTTGGGGCCAGATGGGCTGGCCCTATCAACAGCCTTGTGTCATCCGAGGAGGCATACGCCATCGCTGCAAGCACAGATTCTGACTTAGGGGTGTTCAGTTATAATCCCACGCACGGTAGCTTTGCACCGCTGGCTTTTCAGCCAAGCACAATTGCCAATTGTGCGAACCAACGGTTCCTCTCGTACTGGGCTGGACTACCATTGCGACAGTGGTGCATCAGTAGGGTAAAACTAACCTGTCTCAYGACGGTCTAAACCCAGCTCACGTTCCCTGTTGGTGGGTGAACAATCCAACACTTGGTGAATTCTGCTTCACAATGATAGGAAGAG